GGTTGAGCCCTCTAGACTACATCGAGGTTTGGTGGATGGTGCGTATGTGCAACTTACCACCACACTAGATGTGCTCCTTTGGCATTCAACGGCAAACATATCCCATTACCCCCCCACCCCAACTTGTTTGGTAAAATGACCGAGAGGTAAAAAATAGTTTTCTATTTTTTATTGATTCCATGTGTTATTTCATTTGTGTGAAATTGTAATTTTCATCACAAGATTTTCCAACTCAAGAAAATGCATCAAAAGAAGAGCATGTTTCTTGACATGGAAGATGAGGGCTTTGGTTGAACCAAATCCACGGACGGCGGGGAGGGGAGCAAATTACACTACAAAAAGAAAACAAGTTGTTGTGTGTGACGCATGGAAGAAAATTGGTCTTGATCTGGTCATCGATGTTGAGCAACAAATTTCAATTTATTTAGAGTGTATCTATGAGTACTTCAAGGCCAACAATAAGGGTGTCATCCATCGATCACAAGTCTCGTGGCGTGTCAAAAGTGGTCGGCATGCTTGATATTTGTTGAGAGTCTCAATCCAAGTGGTACAAATGCCTATAATAAGGTGATTCTTTATTTGCATTGATCAATTTTTTCTTCATCTCTTGTATGCATTGGTGGCTAACTTATTTTCACAGTTGTGGTATGTAGCTCAACTTTGCTCAAGAATTGTACAAGGGCAAAGCAAAGAAAGGCAATGTATTCGGTTTACACCATTGTTGGGTGGACCTTCGCAATATGGAGAAATGGAAGAACTGCCTCATCAACAAAATCCCAAATACGAAGAAACTGCATAGCTCGGTTGGAAATGCTTTACAAGTTGACCACCGACGATGATGCATCAAGTATCAAGGAGTGAAAAAGAACCCCACTTCCAACTTGGATACTACCAATAGGCTCAATGGAGGAAGAAAGGCAAGAAGAAGTTGAAGAAGGGAGGATATAATGACTACAAGGAATCATTGGGCAACATCATATAGCAATAAGAAAGGACATGGCCGTTGAAAGGGCCACATTGGAGATCAAAGAAATGAAGGAGAGGAGGAAGGCGAGGAGAGGAGGGCGGAGGTCGGGGAGATGAAGGTGGTCTATGATGAAAGAATCAAGAGCTTGGAAGCATCGAAACACGATCATCTTTCACAATGCACAATTATCTTAGCGCCCCTACTTGACACATTTAAGTTGCATGCCAGGGAATGGATGATGATGGGCGTGAGGGGTATGGTGGTGTTGCTTCCGCTGGTGGCAATTTCTAGCATCGGGAGGCATCAAATTGTAATTTGTAGTTACGGGGTGTTTCCCTTCTTAGAGCTTGTACAAACATTTCTTTCTATCAATGTATCTAGAGTTCTAGACGCAGGGCTTTTGCATTTTCTTGCAAAAAATAACAAGAGAGGGAAAACGTGGCAAGGATGGCAGTATCTAACCCAACATCACATGGAAGCCAGTTTGAACCCCGATGGGAGATGGAGGAAATTTGGAACCTTTCGAAAAATTTTACCTATGCAATGCCATTTTAACTTTAAGTTCAAGGTAATACACTTCAAGATTCCTAACAAACAATCCCTCCTTGGTGGCTGACTGCGCTCGTGGTCACGCCCGACCCCATATTCATAATACATAAAGCAAAGATGGTATTTGAAGCATCTCCATAAATGATCGTGATTTTATTAGAAGGTGACAGGATATATTTAAGAATTTATTTCTCAAATAGACAGTAAATGGAACTTACTTTGATTGGAAAATATTGTACTGGACATGGCATTTTTGCACATATGTAGTTTATATATGCATAGAGGAGCATCTAGGATTTCTCGCAAGAAAAGAGAGGAGCTTCTAGGGTTTCTATTATAGAATTTTATCACAAGTGGATATGAGGGTTTGTTTGTAAATTCAAGACTAGAGTTTGTTATTTTAATAAACTAGATCATCAATGGTGCGCGATGTTGCGCCCGTCTATTCTTTTTTTTAACATAGCACAAACACAAGCACTCATACATACGCGCATACACTCATCCCTATAAACGCACACGCACACCCTACCCCTATGAGCCAGCATATCATCTTGAGATTTACGAAGTCGCCACGGGACGTCTCCACCCACTGAAAACACATCGCCGGAAATCCTTAAATAAATTAAGAATAATGTGAGCACCAGGACATGAGCCCTGGTGGGCTGAGGATACCACTGTCCTTCTAACCATCCAACCACAGGTTGGTTCGCTATTCTTTTATTCAAATGGTATGAAATATTCGTAGAATTTTGATACAAATAGAGTTGTTTGCAGTATAAGGCAACACCTGATCGGACTTTCTAGATTAACAGAATAGAGAACATGTACTTGTTCTTAGGGTGATAATACGATGAAACATATAGTATCTACAAACGACTTGGTGTATAGGGTGAGCAGTATATTCTTCTTTCCAACAAGTAGTGCTCATACACAACAGCCATCATGCTTTTCTTTAAAATGGTTCCAGCTTTTTACCTCATTAAACAAAATCTTCCTCGGCATACATCCAGCCATCATGACAGCTTCAATATAAAATTATCTAGTTAGAACAAGACTCGAGGCTCTATTTCTGAAAATATCATGCAATACAAAAGCATCGGATACCAAGATGCGATCACCAGCTAGGAAACTACGTATTATGCATGATTACTGACCTACTGCAGGAGGTGATGTTTGTATTTGTGTGCAAAGACAAATGCTTCATCAATTCAATAATATATAGTCACTGTTGCAACATTACACTGAAACTTTGTCGTAATGCCTTCTTATGATCCTAGTCTTAATTCATACGATAGTTTCAAATTTATACTAGTTTTGGTACTTTATTTCATCTATGTCATGCAGGTTTCAAACTGGCTATGTTCGTAGGCTGTTCTTTAGATAAGCCTTAAACAGGGCATGAAGTAATGGACATTTCTTAAGATGAAATTGTGACACTAGATAGGTTAATTACCCCTATCACTTGATTCACTTCAACATATACACCTAAGTTATTCTGCATCCAAGCAAGTTCCAGGCCGAGGTAAGAGTATCTAAGTTTCATGACCTTCTGCAGGTTCAGTTTGACCTTCTGTAGTAAAATAACCACGTACTGTTCTCAGAATAGCTCACAAGGAGCACATATCGAATCAAGATTAGTTAAGAACCTTACTTTACCACAAATCAAGCTTTCAAATTTTGGCTTATGCGCCTTAGAGTGTACCAGGATCTCACTAGAGGGAATCTCTGACGTTGCAACATTCATTATGGTAAAACTAGAAAATGGTGCAGCACATGTTCCTTTCCTAGACTACATTCAGCCCTATTTTGCACAAAGAGATATAGATATAGATAGTTCAAGGTTCAAGGTGAATGTGCATCGGTATGGAACTGGTTGGGCACAGGACTACTGTTGTATCGGCGCAGATTTGAGATTCAGATACCAAGCTTCCTGACCAACACTCCTAAATTCTCAATGTGAACATGAACAGAATTATGAAACAGCTTACCAGGGCATTTCCTTGCAGGGCCATTGGTAGTACTGCTGCTATTTAGATTGCCATTGATCCTGTGAAAGTGTGAAGCATGAGTTAACCAAGCATACTGGTGTGGATGCTTCTTTATAATGTTCCCACTGCCAACAATCAACAATATGTCTCAAATATGTTCCATCGCAAGTAGCGCATTTCTTCAACAAGGCTCAAACTTGAGAACAATGTAGGGTTCATGTTCTCAAACTCAATGATCTAGGCAGGCTCGAGGTCCATGTATATCCTTGTACTCCATTCACATTTCTGTGAGAGCAACAGGAAACTGAGGACAAATATTCTATATACTGGCTTCTGAGGAGTATAGTGCATAGGCATTGGGGCCCATAGAGGAACAATTAGGTAAAAGAGCAAAGGCCAATCAACTAGAGGGGATCTCATATTCTCCCGGCCTTGGTGCATTTACAGTTGGGTCTAGTCGGTGAGTAACTTGCGCAGTGGAAGCATTGCTTGTACTACTTCTAGCTCCTGTTATACGGTATGCTCTTGGGGCACTGACAGTTGGCGCTACATTCAGCGAGGCTCCAACCGAAGTATGTGCGTGTTGGTTTGGACTGACAGCATTCTGAGGAGGAATCCGGTTGCTAAGAGGGAGGCAGACTGGGTCTGCCCGCTCCCTTGCAACCTTCACTCCCAGGGCATTTCCCTCCAGAATCTGCAGAAATGCAAAGTGAGAACCAGATTCCCGAACCGAAACTCAAGTTGACACTCAAACCAACCAACCGTCACACTGACCTGCTTGTTGAGGGCGCGTATCGCCTTGTACGATTCCTCGTCGGTCGCCATTGTGACGAAGCCAAATCCCCTCGAACACGAGGCCCCTTCTCGGCGCTCATAGACAACTCTTGCATCAACCACTTTGCCATGCTTGCTGAACAGCTCCTCCAGCCGAGAGTTGTCCACTTGACTCGGCAGATTGCATACGAATATTCTGAGTGGGGAACCGGATTGACGGCGAGGGGCATCCACCCGGGCGCCTCCTCTAGGAGCTGCGATTTTTACAGTCAGAGGCCTGCCATACATCCCCTGTAATGTCCACACGAAAGGTTAATCAGCGAAGCCCAATGCAAAATGTTTCTAGTCTTTAGCAATATGAACTAAACAACGCATGACACATTCCTACAGGCTCAAAAAAATAACTTAGATTAAAGAACACTCTCATGTACATGCTGCATAGCACCTACGAATGAATGAGCTAGTATACGAGACTAACAGAATGAGAAAAGGATGATTAAGCTGGCTTGAATTAAAAGACTAGCCCCATCAAGTTGCACAATATACTCACAGAGCCATGATAGATCCTCACAGCCTTCTCAGCCTCCTGAACAGTACTCATGGTGACAAACCCAAATCCACGGCTCTGGCCTGTTTCTCTGTCATAAATGACCTGCACATTTCATGCATTTTAGAACAGAAAGAAAGAAAAACATACCTACAAGCTGCATCCCAACAGTAATTTGAGGCATTTTTTCACGTATAGTTGTGTGGACAGACAATGAAGAGCTAAAAAGCTCACCTTTGAGAACAGGACGACCCCAGCACCTTGGAAGCTTAGCTTGAGTCTCTCATTGTCAATGTGGTAGGGTAGGTTCCCGACGTACATCGTGGCCCCCTCCGGCGCATCGGGCTCCGGGAGGTAGCCACCTGCAGTGGCAGGGTACGTAATTTGAGCAGAGTGAGCATTGCTTGAAGCTCCTGCCGCAGGGTATACTCTTGGTGCACTGACAGTTTGCTCCACGGTGCGAGTAATTTGAGCAGACTGAGCATTGCTAGTACCTCTTCCAGTTCTTGCTGCAGAGTATGCTCTTGCTGCACCGACAGTTGGCTCTACTGGGTGAGTAATTTGAGCAGTGTGAGTGCTGCTTGTACCTCTTCCAGCTCCCACTTCAGGGTGTGGCCTTGGTGCATTGACAGTTGGCTCTACTAGGCGAGTAACTTGAGCACTGTGGGCACTGCTTGTACCACTTCTTCCAACTCCTGTTGCAGAGAATGCTCTTGGGGCAGAAATTTGAGCAGTGTGAGTGCTGCTTGTACCTCTTCCAGCTCCTGCCACAGGGTGTGCCCTTGGTGCACTGACAGTTGGCTCTCCTAGGCGGGTAACTTGAGCAGTGTGAGCACTGCCTGTACCACTTCCCTCTCTTGGCGCATTGACAATCGGTGCTACACTCAGTGAGGCTCTAACTGAAGTATGTGTGTTTCGGTTTTGGGTCACAACATCCTGAAGAGAAATCTGATTGCTAAGAAAAAGGCGGCCGAGCGACACCATTGCTGGGTGCACAGCAGTTTCTGTTTCTGGATGAGACGCTGGTAGATTTCTGCACCTGAATGCCTCCCTCAGCATTTTCCACTTGGTTTCCTTATCCGTGGCGTGACAATGATCGCCAACCGAGAGACCCTTACCCCAATGACTGCATGGAGCTGGGGCGTCACACACAAAACAGTAGCACTGCATTTGGAAAATGGAGATAAAATGCCTTTTAAAACAAATCTACTGTCTGCTCTGCTTAATATAACCATTATGTATCACATTGTCAGCAGCACCAGGGAGTGGAAATGTTCATAACTTACCATGGCACAATGTTTCTCGTGAGAGGTAGCGCCGAAGGGCATATTAGAACATAAATGGCGCGAGTGTGGGAAGTCCCTGCATGCTACCTGCAGAAGCATATATAACCAATAATGAAAATATGATTCTGCAGGTAAACAGAAGTGGCATAGGTTCCACATAGAAGCTCCTAAACTCTGAAATGTCCTTCTCAAATTTAATTTCAACTAAAAAACCACATATATTCACAGACAATACGAGCAGACAAGCATGGAAGAATTGTGTTACAAATTGAATAATGTATCTTTAACAACTTGCAATAAAATCAGTTATGCTTATCACCAAATTCAGATTACGGTGTGCTCTCCAAATCACTTTGCAAGTCGACTGTCTCACATCTCTACAAAAAAAATGCCCTGAAATATAACAAGGAGGTACTGCTTCTACTGTAAATCCACAAAGTTAAATTGCAATTCCAGAGATCAAAATGCAAGGAAGCCAATACCTTGCCTTTCTCCGCGACTATCTGCAGCTCCTCATCCGAGCCGCCGTCCTTCTCATCATTCACGGCGACCGCGCTGAAAGGATCACTGTCCAGAATCACGCAGTCATCGTCGTCGTCGTCGTCTTCAACGCCACCGGCCATGCCCTTCGGCTGCGGTGGCGCCTCCGCCGGCGAATTCCTGACCATTGGGGACAACAAGCCCTCATCCTGACCAGCAGAACGCAGCTGCCGTGCCACTGGGAGAGAGTACTCCGTCTCGGCCATGATCTCCATATCCCACGATGTCAACCCAACCATAGAAGAACTCGAGCACAGATCGCCCGCCGCCGCCGGCGAGTTCCTGGCCGCGGGGGGCAGGTTCTCCTCCCGATAATCAAAACGCAGCATCCTCGCCGCTCCGGAAGAGCGTTCCATGTCGCAGCGGACCTCCACATCCCGCGGCGACACCGCCCACCCAGCCTGAGAAGAACTCAAGAACGGATCGCCGGGCCTCCTGGCGAGGATTCCAGCAGACGGACGCCCCCGAGGAGCCAGGAAAACCTGAGCAAGGCCGCAGAAACCCTCGACAAGGCCGCCGCAGCAGCCAAAGCTGTCGCCGCCCGCCATGGATCCGGAACCCCCAAAGGCCGCGCTACCAGGTGACGCCTCCGGGAGCACGCACGCCCAGCCCGTCGGGGTCGCTCAATGGCTTCTTACCGACGGGAATTCGGCGGCGATTGGGGGCGAGGAGCTCGGCCTGCGGCGCGACCATGGCCAGCACCGTCTCTAGCAGACTGATTCCCAGTAAACGGAGTACTGTACTGAGCAACGCCGTAGTCGATTGAAAAAAAATTTGTTCAGTCGATTAATGGAAGACAGAGCAGCCGCTCGCCGGAAAGGGGGCTGGGGGTTTAGAGGGATGAGCGGCGGCGACACCGGTCACGGGTGGCGGGGAACGGCGGTTGGGCCAGCGTCGGAGGTGACGCCGTAGAGAGGAGGAGGACGAAAGCCACGGAAGCAGGAGGACACAGGGGAAAGTGACTGAACTTGAATAAAAAAATCAGGTAAATGCCGTACATGTGCTCCTCTCATTATGCTCTGCTAATTATGATTGATTTGGTTTGATGCCACGGATGCTGAATAGTACCCAAATGCTAAACCACATGTGGCGCGAAGCGATTCGGCCTGACGTTTTCTATAATTACTCCATCCGTTCCTAAATATAAGTCTTTGTAAAGATTTTATTATGAAACACATACGGATATATATAGATGCATTTTAAGTGTAGATTCATCCATTTTGCTCCGTATGTAGTTCACCTAGTGAAATCTCTACAAAGACTTATATCTAAGGACGGAGGGAGTATTAGAGTCGTCATCTGAAAAAAGAAAATAAACCAGAAAAACTGAAAATTGTCATTTGAAAGGAAAGTTGGTATGCTTGACAACTAAAGTTGTGATCTTCGCGTCACTAAACTTGTCATAAAAAAAATTCAGAATTGTCATGTGTTTGTGTCACTTATGGCACTTATCAGGGTCCTGGAATCCAAATGATGGCTATTGGGAGTTTATTACCGACTTCTCTTACATCAAACTCACAAAAAGTTACTACATTCTAGCAATTATAATTTTGTCACATGTTTTTTTTGGGTAAATTTTATTAGATGTTGATTTGCTAAATAATCAAGTGGCGAGCAATACATTATCAAATGTATGAGTATGGTCGTACCTCCCCAAAAGGACCGGATGTGGGCAGACTCGTTTTCTCATGCCTTAACATCTCTTGCACGTCCCTCCGAAAAATATGCCGTCTTCGATGGCACTATCGGTCGCAAAACACATATCGTTGACGCGTCAGGGTAAGGGTCTGTGCGCACCGACCGTTGGGGCGGATTGGGATGGCTTCCTCAACCCACGACAACAGCGGTGTGATGGGTCAAAAACTCTTCCTCTTCCTCATCCACCTCATCTCCAACACGACAGAGGGATGGATCTGTCCTATCCTCATTCATGAGGGTTAGGACTTGCGCTTTTAGCACCATGGATATAAAATAGGCTAATAAGTTATAAATAATAGATATAGTAGATAGTAAATATTAAGGGGAGCCCTCTTTTGGGGGGGCTCATGTTTACCAAAAAAAATAGAAACACACAATCAAGGAAGAGGACCAGGAGGTGGACTGTCAGACAAAAAAACGAATGACTTCACGGTGAATCCTATTTGACACTCATTGCGGCAAACTGTTGGCGAAACACACAAGGAAAGAAAAGAGTAACACAAGCTGGCCTCGTTAAAAAGGTCCTCGCATGTGACTATAGTACCCAGTTTTGCAAACCCTCTAAAAGGATCCTCGCATGTTTTGTAAACCTTTTAGAAGGTTCCTAAATTGGTTTTCTTTCTTTTTGTTGTTTTTCTTTACCTTTTTTGGTTTTCTTTTCTGTTTTTGTGTTTCTTTTTCTTTTTTCCTTTTTTCTGTTTCTTTTTTGTTTCGCAGATTTAGTACGAAATGTTGTTTGTGTTTCTTTTTTCCTTGCAGTGAAGTAAATCAGCGACACTTATTTTGAGATGGAGGGAGTATTAGTTACGCAGAAGAGAATTCTTCACTTAATTAGAGAAACTGTCACAAACTGTTGAGTGGCACACATAAGTTAGCCCACACACACCTCTCCCAAGAGGGCCCTGTCAAGATAGTACACTGTGTCATCATCACCACTTTTCCCCCGTGCATGTGTCTTCACCATCCCTAATATCGAGCAAGCGACTCCAACTTTCCCGCGGAGATCATTGACCCAAGTAACCCACAACGTAGAGGCCGTGCAGCGTCATGAAGATCCGCACCAGAACTCAGCCACCAGTGACAAGGACAAGACAGCTCCGACTCCGACGGAGAGTTACAAAGAAGGACTATGCAAGGTTGGTGCCACGAAAGACCACCGAACATACCACCTGTTGCTCGTCATCGTCACCTCCGAGACCCACGACCATAGCTCCGACTTTGCAACAACCAACAAACTGAAGCAATCCCGCAGACACACCAAAGAAGAGCTGACTAACACAACCGTTGACTCGTCCCCGACATCGCTCACCGTTGTCATCGTCGCCGCAGAAACCTCGACGCCGTCGCGACCATCGAGATGACTTTTCATCCTCACGCATCCACTAGTCCCACCAGCCGGAGACCACTCCAAGAACGACACCTACAAGGGAGCCCTCCTTTGGGCATTAGAAGTAGTAGATATTAGATATTAAAGGGGTGAAAAAATTGAAACACACAATTGAGGGAGATGAGCAGGAGGTAGAGTGTCAAACAAAAAAACGACGGACTTAGCAGTGAATCCTATTTGCCATTCATTGTGGCAAACTGCTGGCGAAACATACATGTGAGGAAATGAATGAGTAAATGGGCCGGCCTTTTGTAGCTAGCATAGGTGGCTTCAATACCCAATTTGGAAACCTTCTAGAAAGTTCCTGAATAGGTTTTCTTTCTTTCTGTCATTTTCTGTACTTGTTGTATTAGATTTATTTTTTTCTCCTTCTTATAAATTAAAAAATCCACAAAATGTCCCCTTTTTCAAAATGTGTTCACAAATTCAACATATGTTTTCATTTTCAAAAAAAGTTTATTTTCCAATATTATTCACAAATTCAGAAAATAGTTCAGATTTCAAAAATATGATCCTACAAAATGTTCACAATTTCAAATTAGTTGTTGTTATACCAAAGATGGTAAAAATAATCGAAGATTGTTCCCATTTTTTCGAAAACGATTCGTGATTTAAAAAATCGAAACGTTTAGAGAAGATTTGACGCTCACTGCGCATAACAGGACGCAAAACTCACAGGGCGCGCGCTGTTGGGCCAGCCCATTCGCGCCGTTCTGTAGCAACCCGTACTATTTGCTGTGTGTGTTTTCATTTTAATAAGTTTTGTCGTTGATTTTGTGAAAAATAAAATGCAAAGCTTTATAATTTTAAATGTGAACTTTTTTCGAAATTTCGCAAACATTTTTCAAAATCTTAAGAAATTTTGTAGTTTTTGAGGACTTCCTGAACTTTCATAATATTTTCCCAATTCGAATGTTTTTGATTTTTTGTTGAAAGTGCAAAAAAAATTAGTTTTGACAGCCTTTTTTCAAAAAAGAATTTTCTTTTAAATTTTCAGAAAAATTTGAATTATAAAACATGTTGGTAAATTATGAACTTTTTGAATTTAAATAGTTTTCAACTGCTATTTTTATTATTATAAAATTTGGGAAAATTTCAAAAAAAATATTAATATTTTTTAAGTTTGTTTATAAAGGATTTTGAAAATAAAAACCACTAAGAAAAAAATGAACCAGACCAGAACCTTGTTGATTTATTTTTAGAAATCTTGTCTGACTTTATTGTATAATATAAGTGTTCAAGGGCAAGCTGGTCAGGGGAGTACGCAGCCATGAATGACGATTTATATCTAAATTACAGGCAAACATTGTGAGATTATGGGCTTCAAAATTGAAGCTTCTATGCTAGTGAATACAAACACAAGACTGGGAAAGATCCGAACCATCAACAATGTCTGTTATGATACCTCCGTTTCTTCCTCCGAGTCGTTGATGAATATCGTTGATTACTCCCAAGCAATCTTATGCAATATGTAAACGATAAAGATTCAGATCCTCAGCTAGTGCAAGTGCTTCCCGGACAGCAAAAGACTCCAACAGTGTAGGGTCGGTCACATGAGAATACTATCGCCGACGAACCCAGGTATGCTCCAGTTTGGTGGCGGCGTATCACAGCAGCTGCTCTAGGCTGACCATTGCGGGCGATGGCAATGGTCAACATTAAACTTTGAAGTATTTGCCGGTGGTGGGAGCCAACATCCAGGTTCATCAGCTGACAGTCGAGCTTGGGGACGAGGATGGCTCGTTGGAGTTGCCCTCACCATGAGATCATGCAGAAAGGAAAATAATGAATGCGTTTGTTTGCTGGGGACTTTGGAAAATCGATTCATATATAGCTTTCCTTCTTGCGTACCAGATGGAACATAGGGTGACCACTAGCCACGTGAATTGGTCATGGATTGAACCTTGTTTTTTATATGCGGGGTAAAAATAAAAACCCCATACCTGAGCCTAACGTTATTGGGCCCCATAATTTGGCGCACGGTGAGATGATATATATCGCTTGTGGGCGATCTTCCATCCAAAATGGGCGAGGCCGAGCCCGCGTTGAGACGTGCGTCTCCCAGAAGTGCACACCCTTGTTTTTTCGGCTTCCCCGTTGGTTGTTTTATGTTAGTCTGTTTTATTATATCAAATATTTATCTGGGTTTGGTTTTATTTTAAATATTATTTGTTGAATATGAAAAATGATATCAGATTTGGAAAAATATCACTAAATAAAAAAAATCATGAAATGTAAAAATATTCATGTAATTGTAAAATTATTTATGAATTAAAAAAACTCACGCATTTTTAAGAGTATTCACAAATTACAAAAACATCAAATTTGAAAAATATTCACGTTTTCAAAATGTTCATGAATTTGAAAAATATCCATGAATTACAAAATAAAAATAAAAGGGGAAATAAAAATAGAAAAAAGCAGAAAGAAAATCGGGAAATATAAACAAAACTTCTGAAATCT